AATATTGAAAGACACCATTTTGAGTCCAATTAGGAGCCGAAAAACAAAAAAAGACATTTTTTTTATTTTTTAGTCATCTTAGATTTGGGTATTAGCTACAAACTTTTTTATTTGTTCTTTTAAGACCGATAATTGAATTGCTTGCATTAACTTTTCAAAGCCTCGTTTTGTTGCATTTTAATTAAATGTCAAAATTTCCAGTTTAGGCAGAAACGGCCATATTGAGAGCCATAAAAAGCAATGTGGGCAGTAGTGCCCCGAACTTTCGGAATAGCAAGAAATTAAATTCACCTCATCTGTATAACATATAAAAAACAAATTAGAAAAGTACTTTTTTTTTTTTGTTGCGGAGAAATTATTTTTTAAAGATGAGCCTCTCCAACCATGCCTCCAGGCACGCGCCTCATAGGCGACGCACGCCGGTGTTCGCCAGTGAGGCGTCAACAATCTGAGACGCCAATACAAGGTCTTCGACGCTCTTCTGAAAACATGTTTTATTCGGTTGAAGTAGACATCATCCTGGCTTCTGTTATGAATAACAAAACATGTTTATTGACTGAACGTGCAATCCAGCGTGGCCTGCAACCTAAATGTCAGTGGCCAGCAGCACCTTGCGCTGCTTCATATAGGAAGGGCGATCGATGTGCCCCCTGGTGTCTACCCAGGCGCGCAGCGGTAACTGCCGGCTGCAGCATCTTTTCCCCCGAAAATTCTGATGTCAAGGAGAAAACCGCCGCATGGCTCGGAGATTGTCGCAGCACACGGATGCCGGGAGGAACGCTGTCTGCATGGCTGTTGGACGCCACTCTTGACAACCCCAGAGCGATGTCAGCCTTCTGCACAATGGGCATCCCAAGGAGCTGTCTCATCCGCCTCTTCCAGATGTCGCACCTTCACCGGCGGCAGCCGCGGCTCCATAACGTCGGCCTCTGTTGTGGGTTGAACTACTGTCTCGTTGACCCGATGCCGCAAATGGTCTTCATGGCAGTACCGCACTGTACTATCTAGCCGCCGCACCTCTGTTGATAATGCACTGATAGCCGGGCCGACAACCGCAGGCACCCAACGAGGTCCTGGTGGAAAGTTCCTTGCCGAAACAGGATCCCCTGGTTGTGGCACTGGTTCCCTCCTGGCTGACCAGTCGCTGAGCACCTTCTGCTGCAGCTGATGAAACTAGACCTTGCTCCGAAGGTCTGTTGTAGCAGCTTCAATGCAGTTTTCAAGCACAGACCCACGAGCAGTTCTGCTGGAGCGCGTATGCAAACAGCACTCTAGCTATCCGACACTCAAAATCTCCTGGTTGAGTCTCCTTCAACTTTTTTTTTACCGTCTAAACTACCCTCTTGGCGGCACCGTTAAATGCTAGATGATATGGAGGAACAAGAATCTGCCGCACTTCATAACGAGCCAGAAATTGTGCAGAAAGCTTGTGAATGCAGGACCATTGTCGCTCTCAACCACATCTGGCAGTCCATAGACTGTGAATATCGACTGCAGACACGAAACTGCAGCCCCTTTTGAAGGGAACTACACATGGACCACCTCCACCCATTTAGAGTAAGCATCTACCAGTACCAAAAAGCACACCCCCCAAAATGGACGCCCAAAATCCACGTGGAGCCGGGACCGAGGCCGGCTAGGAAACAGCCACGGAATTTACTGCACGACCCTTGGAGCCTCGCGACGTACACCCGCTGGCAATATGAAGGTGAACACCTTACCTGGTTTCTAGCCTGTGTTACGGCTCCCTAAAGCTATAATAATTCTCAACGTTTCAAATGGTACGTGGCTTGGGGGTCTGAACTTTGCATTCTAGCCCTCTTCTAAAATAGAGCTTGTTCCAAAACTTGCAGGAGCATCAAAAACAAGAAGAGGGCTTCCATATCGCTCACGGGTGTACCTGGCAGATTGCACACATTCTCACCCTGGTCACAATGTCCCCATCAATGCCTGGCCACCATACACGACTTCGGCCCACCAGCTTCATTTTCTCAACCCCCGGGTGGCTCTCGTGCAGCAGATCCAAATCTCGTCCGCAGCGATGCTGGCACAACCACACGACTTCCCTGCAGCACCAGTTTTTGCATTTACTCGACATCAATAGACCCTTTCCGAAACTCAGTCTGGCCACTTTGATCACTATCATCATCATCTGAAAAATGGCATATGTGCCATACCAATGGCGGCTTTCTATTTACTGATGACGGAACATGTTGAAGATACTTCTAAGCTGAGGATTCGAGGCCTATACATTTTAGACGTTAGTATGTTACAAAACCAGAATTGAATGCAAGCGCTGCGTAAGTGTTCATTTCTCTAATTCGAGCCCAGTGAACCTGTTAGTGGCACTAAATCGACTTTGAAACCCCTTGACTTGTAGAACTTTGTCAATGCGTCTGTCTGGGTTGGCGCTTCGTTCTGACTGATTGCATCGTTGTGGGAATCGACACTGGAAGAGATGATCCAGAAAAACCTGTATAGCAAAAAGTTTATTTTTGTCTGCCGTTGACATGCAAAAGTAACGGTGCCCGATAAAATACTGCAGGCTACAGGTTCATTGCCGCCATTCGTATGGCAAAAGTTGAACCGCCATTTCAGCCACCAGATGGCTCTGAATTTTGGAAAGGGTCCATATTGCGCGCAAAAAGAGTGCCACATGCCCTGCCCACAATGACGCTTAGAAGAGCGTCATTGTGGGCAGTCGTTTCCATGAAGTCATCACTACCTCGGCAGCGCTTTCTTGGTGGATGTGATAATGAACTTCAGTACATCTCGGTTCTACCGAAATACATTTAAGTTCAATGGGGAAGCGACGTCACTGTTATCATTTTTCATCCGTGAAGAGCTATCCGGTCTGAATTGTTTTTATATCTGAACACACGACAGGACAATGCCGACGCGCAGTATGCATTCCCACACTCGTGAAGCAGACGATGCAGGCTTGCGTTCGTCGGCAGTTACCTGGGCAGAAGGCCAGATCTCCTCCACCAGCGGCTCTGGATTTTCTTTCACTTCACTTCAACCTTGCGCCAGCGTCTCGGACTGTTGATGCCTCGCTGGCGAAAACCTGCATGTGGCGCCTAAGAGACGAGTACCTGGAGGCATGGTCGGAGAGGCTCATCTTTAAAATATAATTTCTCAGCAACAAGAAGTACTTTTCTAATTTTTTCATTGGTTAAACAGACGAGGTGAATGGAACTTTTGGCTATTTCGAAAGTTCCGGACACCGCTGCCGACATTGCTTTTTATGGCTCTCAATGTGCCCTTTTCTGCATAAACTGGGGGTTTTGGCATTTAATTAAAACGGAACAAAATGGGGCTTTGAAGATTTAGTACAAGCAATTCAATTATTAGTCCTAAGAGAATGAAGAAAAGGAATGTATTGTAGCTTACACCCAAATTCAGGTCGACTAAAAAAAATACAGGAATCTCGTAAAGTTCCTTCTTTCTGGAGCCCCTATTTGAACTCAAAATGGCATCTTTCAATATTTATACCTTAATGTAAGATAGGGCATATTATTAACTAATTAGGTGCCCACCTAAATTTGTGTGATAAACAACCTTCCTTTTTTTTTTTTTCAGAATGTTTTTTTGTTTTTTTTTAATACGTAGGTTTTATGCAATTTCCAGAAATTTAGAGCATGGTATCAGCAAAAATAAAATTAATGTTTTTTGCAAAAATAACACATTTTTTTCTTTAGTTCTAAGGCTTTTTTATCCAAGTTATTTTTTATGTACATATCCCAGACATGAAAAAAATGTCCCTTTGCCTTGGGATGACCCAGCCGAGGAAACGGGTGGATATTTAGGACGTTGAAAGTGTTGCAGTTAGTTTTGGTGGTCTGCATGCAGGGGAGATCCAGAACTCCGTTTTGGGGGAAAGCAGGAAAATTTGTAAGGATACTAGTCTCCCATTCTTTCTCTGTACTGGGGGGTCCACCCATGTCAAATTGCCCTTTGAGGAGGGGGGGGGGGTCGACTTTGTTTGTTGGGGGAGGGGGGCAATCCCCCCCCCCCCCCCCCCCCTTTGGATCTGCCCCTGTCTGTATGTTCTCTGCAGCTCAGTCGTATGAGCAGGCTCACTGGGATGGTATGGCCGCATTGGTTGACAATGGCCGAGCTGATTTGCAACGAGAATTTTTTTCGAGAAACAGAACAAACAGAAAATTAGCAGTTTATTTTATTTGTGGCAGCGCCCTTGAAGTTACATTCAAAGAGGTCTGGACGTTATAATTTGTGCGTGTTGCATATGATACCACGAAAAGAGTGACTCGGTGCCACTTTTTAAAGTTTAATGTGAACTTTTAGTTTGTGGGAAAACAAAAGTTTGTGTGAAAACAAAAGCTTGTGTGAAAACAAAATTCTTATATCCACATCCTGCCAGTATTCCCGTTTGCGTATATACGGGTTAATGCCAAGCATCTCCCCCTTACCAGTCGCTACAATTCTTGTGAGATTGAGAGTGGTTGACCGGTTAGTAGATTCGTCAACTCGGTCACATCTGTTAGCTAAGTTGTCACTGGGTCAACTTGCTTTCTAGTGCGATGCCTGGACCGGTGTGTTTAGCGTCCTATCCTGTACATACATCAAAAGTTCCCAAGTGGCAAAAAATGAATCCGCAAAAGCCAGTGTGTCATGCCGTTGGATGTCGTGGTTGGTAGAAGTTGGGCATAGAAGTTCCGGGAAAGAAGCACGAAAGAATGTGAACGTCGCCGTCGTCACGTTGTCCCGACTCTCGGCTGCCGGAGCTTCTGTAAACCGTTGAACGAAAGAGCGATCCGCAGCAGAACAGGCATCCGCCGCGTTCGCCGCCGCGTTCGCCGCCGTTGCTACGGCAGCGCCAGGATTGCAGCGGAAATCGAGGGAGCATTTCCTTTGGATGCGGTAAAGGCGCGGGGGGCACGCGTTCCCTACACCGTACCTTTTAGCGGGGCAACGGGTTCGCCCTTTCGTTAGCCGTTCCGCGCAGCGTTCTAAGGCAGCGTCCGTCGTCCCCGCAGATCAAGCGCTACGAGAAGTTGGAGACGGCGGAGGAGAGGAGGACGGCAGCACGGGAGATCTACGACAACTACATTATGAAGGAGCTGCTCTCGCACACGCACGTGAGTCGGAGCGGCCCAGATGTCCTCTTCTTCCGCACACGGCCCTTCTTTGTCCGAACCTGGTCTTTCTCTTCCGTTGCAGAATTACTCGCTCGAGTCCGTAGGCCACGTCCAGAAGTTTCTCATGAGGAACGAGGTTCCAGTTAATTTATTTCAGGTGAGCATTCTGAGGGCGTCTAAAGTCGCCGACGGGACGGGAACGGCGGGGAGGTTCTTCGATTGTCCTGCCTCGGGCGCAAGCTTCCTACCTCGGACGACGCTCGGACGTCTCATGACCCCCGAGCGTACACGTGCAGCCGGAGTGTGACGGAGGAGGACGAGCTGGAGGCTGGGCGTCCGAGAGAGGCACCCTACCGTTCCCGTCCTGTTTGCGACCGTGGTCTCGATGAAGCCCGTATGTTGGAGCTGGCGTGACAGGATCCCCAATCGGATCCTACGATTGTTTTTTGTAAATGGCGTAAAAGGTCCTGTAGTAGACGTGTAGAGCACCCAAATCCTTTCAGTCGTTCGTAGCTTCTATAGTCGGTTGCAACTCAAGGAAAAAGGACGAGGGAGAGGCAGGCCGGGGAAGAGGAAACAGACGGATTGTTGCAGAAGAGAGGGGGAAACCTCCTCCTTTCTTTAGCGTTCAGTCTGCTTCCTCCTCCCCTTCCTTTCTTTCCCTCACCCTACTTTCTTGAGTTGCAGTGGACTATAGTGAAATTTTTTCGGGGTTTCAGCCAAGCATGGACGCACGACCACACGAGTCGGATACTATGTTACTCTCAATAAGGTCCATGAGCCTTTGCGTCGCTCTATTGCAAGAACGTTGAGGGGAGGGTGGGAGGGAAGGGGTTTGCTCGCCTGTCATTCTAAGCGCATGGGTCTTTCTCGGTATTAAAAAAACCTGAATTCCCACGCTACGCTCACCGTTGCTTGTGATGAGACTGTGTGTTCCTCTTTTTGCAGCCTTACATTGAGGAAATCTTCAGCCTCTTACGGGACGACATTTTTAGGAAGTTTATCGAAAGGTGAGTGTTAGGAGGCCGCCGCGACGATTTGGCCCTGTGCTCACCGCTTGCTTCTCCGCAGTGAAAAGTACACAAGGTTTTGCCAGTGGAAAAACCTCGAGCTTAATATTCAGGTGAGTCCATCATCCTTTGCGCTTTGCTTGCCTGGTGAAGGAGTGCGATTACTAGCTGCAAACGAATAGGGCTGGAACCATAGTTATCGGCAAAAGAAGATAGGGTATAGATTAAGCCTCTGTAATGTTTTTTTTAAAGCATGAAATGCTTTTTAATGCTACCCCCCCAATCCCAAAATTTGGTCAGTCTTTCCGTGCGCGTATTTTGTCGGAAATTTAGCGGGGAAAGTGGCGTCGCGTCTTGTGGCGTTAGCGTCTTGTGGCCAAAATATAAAATAAGCTTCCCCGCTAAATTTAACGAGAATTTAATGTCACGTGACCTATACACGAGTTCACTTGCCCGCTAAATTTGGCTGGAAAATTCACGTCTTGCGCATTAATGCAGTTTCATGCATTAGAAGACTTCAAAGCTCAAGGTCACTGCCAATTATTTTATTCAAGATGTTTACCGGGGATTGCATTCGTCTTTTTGGGTGATCGTTTGGGCCATTTAAGACAAAAGACGTTCCACACAACGAGTTATTTATCCATTTTGTTTCTTTCTCCAGTTGACAATGAATGACTTCAGCGTGCACCGGATAATCGGACGCGGTGGTTTTGGCGAGGTGTACGGCTGCCGGAAAGCCGACACGGGGAAAATGTGAGTCGGGGCCAGAGCGTTTGTTTCGTGTCGGCTCGCGCCACTCCCGAGCACGAGTCGCACGGGATTGAGGTGCTGCGACTCACGTGCGCACGTTGGCAGGTATGCGATGAAGTGTCTGGACAAGAAGCGGATCAAGATGAAGGTGGGCGAGACACTAGCCCTCAACGAGAGGATTATGCTGTCGCTCGTCAGTACAGGGGTGAGTGCTCCCATTCATTTTGCCGGTTGGAAGATGGCGATGTGCCAGGCTCGACAGAAACTTGTATACATCGCTTTGCTGTCGAAGGTGCTTTTGATTGTTTTCTGCCATAAAAGTCAAATTAAAGAAATCCTTATAACAATGAATGAAATTTCATTGTTAAACCTTGCAGCAACTCATAAACTCTAGGAGCTACAGATAAATTCGCTGTGCCCAAAGTTTTTTTTAAAAATTCATTTTTTTTTTTTTTTTTTTCATTTTTATTTGCAGTAATTATGTGCATGTGCACGGTTCGTTACGATACGTGATGACCATGTGAAGGAGAAACCTTGCTAGCTGGGGATAAAATGTTCCAGATGTGTACCCATGAATTTTGTGAAACACGAGTTAATAACAATTGCAACCATATCTTTTTTTCTTTTTTTTAGGCACTTGACACCACAGACATTTAAAAAATTCTTGGCAGGCATATTCCATTTCGGGAAGAAGCGTGCGTTGCAGTAATCTTTTAAGTACATTATTCTCTTTATTATGCTCCAAGAGTGAGAAAACTATGGTATATTCACATAACAAAAGTGCCCATGGGAGTAATATAGAACTCAAATAGAAACTAAAAGTTCACTTGGATGGATTTGCAAGCTTTGGTCTTTCACCTAAGAGTATCACATCTCTGATGGGACATCATTCTTGTGTGTCTTGTAGGAGGACTGCCCTTTCATTGTGTGCATGACCTATGCGTTCCAAACACCAGACAAACTGTGTTTCATCCTGGACCTCATGAACGGTGAGTGTCCAGCTCACCCAGAGCTTCGACGTTTTTCTTTTTACTATGCAATGCCCATTTCATTGGAAACGCTGGTAAGCTAGCAACAGCATTGAAGTGCCGGTTCTTCCAATGCATCCCGCACTTGCGTATCGCATCTTCCATCGCTTTCGTGGGAAGTCGCAAGTCCTAAGTAAATATGGGATGATTGCTTTTTATAGAAACCTTTCTCACAAAATCGCCTCGCGGCTGCACTCGTCACTTCAAGAAACAAAAAAATAAGTTTTGTTCGTAACTCCTACTCTCTGCAAAGTACCTACGTTCTTATAAGATTTGGTGGTTAGAGAAAAACCTTTGCATTTGAAGCTTATACTTTTAAATAAAATAACTGATGCTAAATATGCATACTAGTATTCTAATTGATAACATAAAAGGAGAAATCAGTAATATTTCACAAGAAACCAAGCTTTTTTTTTTTAATCTATTGTAGAATATTACGCATCCGCCCATTCCACACTAAGCGCCCATTCCCAAATTTGTAAAGGCTCGTTCACACTCTTGCAACCGAGTACGACCGAGAGAGACCAGACCGGTTTTTAATCCTCTTAAGACGTCTTAGGACCATCTCCACAGCAGCGTGCCAGGTCCTAAGAAGTCGCAAGGTGATTAAAAACCGATCTTGTCTCTCTCGGTCGTACTCGGTTGCAAGAGTGTGAACGAGCCTTAAGATTTGAGAAGATATGCACAGTACATTGATATGTAAAATTGATAACCAGACAAGCGTCAATCCCCCATTTTTTTCTTCGATTATCGATAAATATTGAGTGGGCACTTGCTTGGTATTATGCAGTAAGTTCTTGAAAGCAAGTCCAAGAAATTCCTAGAAATTGGCGATTAAATGTTCAACAGAATGACATGCAGCTCCTTGTGAATGTGTTTTTGAGTGGTTGATTTATCCACTCAAACTAATTAATTTTGCCACAATCAATCGTATGAAATATTTTCTTTTTCTCAAATATGATGAGGCAGTTTAGGGAAACCTTTGAGAGGAAGGAGAAATTATTGCTGAGTATAGTTTCAGTTTGTCTTAGAAAGACATGCAGGAGACTTCTTTATTGTGGTAAAATTTTCTGCTCTCTGGATTTTGATTTTGTCCATTCTTTGCGGCTCATCAGGATATGTTAGAGCTTGTTGTCAAGTTATTGATTTTGGAAAGATTCCTCCTCTGAGCACAACATGAAAAAGCGTCCCCCCTACCAACTGTTGGTTTGTCCAGTTCCCAAGAGAGCACCATACACAACAGCCAGTCTTGCAAACACCACTGGGCAAAGTGAACGATTCTGCGTGCACTCTCGTAGTGACTCGTCTCGAAATCTTCCGAGCTTGGACCGAAGGGGCCGGCGTCGAAGTTACAATAGGTGCATCCCGTGTTGCAGGGGGTGACTTGCACTACCACCTCTCTCAGCACGGAGTGTTCACGGAGCAAGAGATGCGCTTCTACGCCGCTGAAGTTATCCTGGGGCTGGAGCACATGCACCGGAGATATGTGGTCTACCGAGACCTCAAGGTTGTCTCTTTTCTTTCTCTCTCTCTCCTTCCATTGTGCAATTCGTTGCCCGATGACAGGCTTTGTGTCGTGGCCTTCCGTACTGTGCATCTGTCCCGGCGTTGGTCGGTGTGCCTATTGACACGGGTGTCTACCAACAGTGAATATTTGCGAATATGGGTGCATTTTAGGCTCCGCTTCACCGTATGTTTGGCTGCTGAGGACACTATCACGCACTATTAGTAAAAAATAAATATGGCTCGCATTTGCCGATACATTGCAACACTGGTGGCTGTGTTCCGTGACCACAGCAGATAAGGACTCTGGGCAGGCACGTAGCCAGGATTTTGGTTCGGGGGGGCCCGCCCATGACAAAATGCTGTATGAGGGGGAGGGGGGAGAGGAGGCCCCAGCAAAACGGAAGACTTCGGGGGGAAGGGGGGAGGGGCCGGGCCCGTGGGCCTCCCCCCTGGCTACGTGCCTGACTCTGGGGAGAAGCTGTGAGTCTCTTGCTCATAAACTCTTGAAAACTCTTGGAAACATTTTTTTATCAAAAAAAAAAGTGGGATGGCATGCATCAGGGACACCTCAATTGTACTTTGTGCAAATGAATTTCAATTTTAGAGCGCAGCTCTTGGGCGCCCGTTTCGGGCTTGAGCGGCGTCGCCGTCGGCATAACCATGAGGTCACGTGACCTCCCCCAGGTCACGTCACCTCCATAGGTCACGTGACCCCCCCCCCCCCCAGGTCACGTGACCTGGGGGGGTCACGTGATGCATGCCGATGACGTCATCAGTGACGTCACTGATGGCGTCATCGGCATCCGCATCGCCATCGTCATCTTCACTGATGACGTCATCGGCATCCGCATCGTCATTGTCATCGTCCCTGATGACGTCATCAGTGACGTCACTGATGACGTCATCAGCACCCGCATCGTCATCGTCACTGATGACGTCATCGGCATCCGCATCATCGTCACTGATGACATCACTAGTGATGATGACGTCATCGTCACGTGACCTCGGTGACGTCACGTGGCCCCCGTGAGGTCACGTGACCCTTGTGAGGCGACGGCGACGCCGCTCGAAGGAAGGAGTAGCAGACAGGATGAGGAGGTGAGGAGGGAGGAGGGGCATACCCTCCCATCGGTACCCTTCCCATCCTCCTCCTCAAGAGCTGCGCTCTAATTCAGCGTTACAGGGAGTTGTAAATGGCTTACATTTTTTTGCGTGATCGGATACCGGCTTGATAGCGGCATGTGTTACCTCTTTGCATATGTATGCAAAGAGGCAACACTTTTCCCTGAGTAAAAATAGTTAAAAAAGTTAGCGCTTGTCCTGTTTACTGCTTGTCCCTATCTTTTTTGTGCTATTTTGAACGTAGCACGTGACTACGCTTTTTGCGCGTCACGTCGCGTCCTCTCGGAAGTAACGGGAAACTTTCGAAGCCTTGGAATGGCTCGATGGCTCGTGGCATCCACTGCGGCTGGTCGTAACATGAAACGGAGTGGGGCAGCCATCGACAGGAAATATGTGGGTTCTTAGTCGGATCAGAAAGGTATACTTGGCTAAAGTGTCGGGAGAGTTTGTAGAAATTTGAGAAGAAAAGTGTTACTTTGTCCCACGATTTCTGTGGCATGCGCATGTTTGGTGAACCCAAACCCAGCTTTTCGACGTAGCGGTAGTAGTTCTGTCAAACGTTCAGGAGTTGTACGAGCAAGAATCTAGTTCTTTTTGAGCTCGCGCGATGTCACCATCTGCAGTAGTAAATTGCACGATACCCTTAGCGCGAACGAATGATCACCATTTTCTTTTGGTTTTTCTCTTTGAATCAAAAGGCTGTCATCAAAACTACTCCGTTTCATCCGTTCAGAGTGCTGGATTGACTGGGATGGCTCATAGTGTCCACTGGGGTCCGTTGTAAGGCGAAACAGAATAATGTTTTGAATGCATAATTGGGACTCTAACCCGAGCAATAAAAATTGTCGCGAACCAACACACTTTCAAACTAAAATGGAAAAAAAAAAAGAAGTGCCAATGACGCGTTCGTACTAAGAGGGTTGCACAGTGTGCATTGTTTTTGTCCCTACTAATGGTTCCGGACGCACCCTCTCTTAAAATTAGGATTTTTTCTCTCTTCACCAGATGTGCGTCGCTTTATATATCTTAATTAAAATAAAACGATTGATCGCTTGACTAACCTGTCAATCGATTGCCATTTGTCTCCAGCCGGCCAACATCCTGCTGGACGAGCACGGCCATGTGCGGATATCGGACCTGGGCCTGGCCTGCGACTTCTCCAAAAAGAAGCCCCACGCCAGCGTGTGAGTGGACGGCCGGCATTCTACGACGTTTCCCTCTAAAGAGCCGCGTTACAGCAGTGCCCGGATTGCGTCACCGATCGGCGCGTTTACCGCGTCCAAAAAGGGAGTCTCGATTTCCACCTGACGACGTCGCGTCGTCGCTGGACGCGATCCCGGTAGCGTCGCAGCAGCAGTGGTGGACATGGCAGATGCCTGTTCTGCTGCAGATTGCTCTTCAGCTCGACAGTTTAAGGAAGCCTTAGCAGTCGGTAGTTGGGACGACGCGAGGACGGCGACACTCGCGTTGGCTCACGCTTTTTACCGGAACTTCTAACGGCAACTGCCAGGACCGTAATGTCCAACGGCACGACACCCCGGCTTCCGCGACGCCATTCGTCGCCACTTGGAGACCATCGTTGACGTATGAGCAGGATAGGATGCTAAACACGCGGGTCGCAGACACTTTCCGGGGTGCCGTAGCGTTACGGACGGATCAATCGTTGCCGGCACGGAACAAGCCTGCTTTCCCGAAGGGCGTTGCTTCGAAGAATATTCCTGTACTGTGAAAACCGGGTCTCGTTTGTTGCGCCGTACCGGGTGCGAGCTGCTGAGACGAGCTCGTGTTCGACTATCCGGGACTGCCAAGCTTTATCTGGGAGTTCTGCTCGTGCCAGAGGGAGCAACCGTGAGGTCAAAGTCAACTTGGGAGGGGGTTTTACGTGGCAAACCGACGAAGGGCATCTGGCTCGCCCTGGTGGAGGACAAGATTACTTTCGACCGCCCAACGCGTTGCCAAAGTCTCGGCTACGTGGCACCTTCTCCACAGGGAGCCTCCGTTAAATTGCTGGTCACCTCGGCCGAGAGCTGGTACGGAAGACTTTCAAGCAAAGGGGAATATTGCGCAAGTTACCGAGCTGCACAAAACGACAACGGCATTCCTGATGAGCAAAAAAAACAAAAAAAACTTTCCTGTTTCTAGCTGCCTCGGCGTCTTCAAAACAACTAGAAACTGTTTTTTTTTTTTGCTCGTCGGGAATGTTGTTATTGTTTTGTGCAACTCGGTAGCTTCTTGGAATGCACTATGTTCCTCTTTGCTAGAGTCCCTTCTGTCCGACTCTCGGCTAAAGACTGGCTCGCTTTTGTAGCATGTCGTTTCCCACTTTTTTTTTATCGTAGGGACCGAGTGCAATGAAAGCAATTTTCCGCAGTTTATGACAATACATGTTCTGCGAAGTGTTGCAAAGCAGTGCTAACAATTTTAACAAAAATTTTGAAATTGCACGAGAAAAAACTTTAATTACGCTCCTCTCGTGAGACGAGCTCATCGAAAACAGCAAACTCCTAGCGTCTTCGCCGCCGCTCGCCGCTGGGATGTAGCCGTGCTGTACGCTTATCCGCCCAGCGGGAAATTCGTGTCTGAAATATTTCTGAGTATTTTATTTCGACTTGCCGAGAGTGCGAACCAAGATGTCTCGCGTGACCCCCCCTACGAACGCATTGCCGCCGTGTCCCGGGGCCCAGGAGAGAACCGTGCGACGTTCCTTGCAGGGGTACACACGGCTACATGGCACCCGAGGTGCTGTCCAAGGGCACGGCGTACGACTCGAGTGCTGACTGGTTTTCCCTCGGGTGCATGCTCTACAAGCTGCTCAAAGGGTGAGCCCCCACTTACTCTTATTACTCCTGCCTTGCTCGCCGTGCCTCGCAAATCTTTTTTTCCTTGGTACGTTCAATGTGCAAGTGCTGTCACATCCCGTTTGTTTTGTTTCCCGCTCGGGCTGTTCGTAGAATCGGTTATTTGGGACATAGAGTCAGATTCAAAGAATGTTAGTCACGTTGGTCTTGGACCCTAGCCACCGGGGATGCGAGGGCATTAAAATTGGGTTAGCATTTGATATAGAGTGTTCTGCCGTCATCTAAAATCTTTGCTTGCGATTATTTTTGGCGGTCGTGGCTGTTTTCAAGCAGATGCTTCCTTCTTATGTTGCAGTCTTCTTCCCTATCGCGCAGCCTTTCCAGGATTCCGTATCCGAGCAAGAGCTCATTATTTTCTCCCTTTTGGGGAGCTACGGACGAACTGCGAGGAACAAATTCTAATGCTTGTCTCTTCTTCTAGGCACAGCCCGTTCCGGCAACACAAGACGAAAGACAAGCACGAGATTGACCGAATGACCTTGACCATGGTAGGTCATTCTTTGCAGTTCTCGTACAGATCTGATATGCAGTTGTGGCAGTCACGGTTTACGAGGAGGCTTTCCGTCCCAGGAAACGCCATGCAGCTAGGATTACTGGCTAGTGAGAGACACGCATTTGGTCGTGCTTTTTTTTTTTTACTTGTACGAACAACCTCCGGGATTGCGACGTTTGACAGCGTGGCACTCCGGCTTTTGCGGCGTCGTTTGTTGCCACGTGGGGACCGCATTCGATGCACGGGCGGAACAGGACGCCAAAGGCACCAGCCGGAGACGTCTTCCGAGCACTGTGCTAGGACTGCAAATGGCGAGACTGGCTCTCTCTTTGTAATGCAGAGTAGAGTGAAAGAGTGTGAGGGAAAGAATGCAACCCGGGTAGACTTCGAGAGATTTTGGTGGAGTGCATACCGTATTTACATGAATGTAGGTCAACCCATTTTTCAATTTTTGAAAATCTGACTTATACTCGAACTCAAGCATTCCACCGCCATCAAGAATGAGACAGTCGCGATATGAAAAACACTTAGACTTGTTACGAGTTCAGCCGGCTGTACCTGTAGCATTGCGCCATTCCGTGCGCTCATTTTACAAGATTTTTTTTTTTTTTTTTCTTCACGCGAACGAGTGTTTTTGATAGTGATTTGCAAATACGGCGCATGGCGCACCTTGCTCCTGGGGTCCTGGGGGTGGCAGCAGCACTTAATGTAAGAGCCACTCCGGAATGGACCCTCGCATCGTTTGAACGAGTGTCACCATCGTGCTGGTGTGCCAACCACGTCTCTCCGTATTGACACGCGTGATCTGGGCAGGTTCGGTTTCCGGTGCTCGTTTATGGCCATTCATCCAAAAGCAACCAACAACTGCGCTTCTGGACTCAAGTGTGACCTGTTGGAGCGGGTAGTGCTCCAGTGGTGTCTGGAACGGCGCAGGATCTTAACTGCAACGGCAAACTAAGAGGTTTCCGCGGGCCAAAGTCTGCATAGGTCTGCTTTGCCTTCCGGAGTTGGAGGTCGGGCTTGTAACGGTACGTCACAGAAATGCGCGATCGATCCCTACCTGTGAGGTGCGACACGATCATTGAGCAAGCACGGAAGATGCGGTTGATGCGGTTATTTGCGAATTGCGCGATTTTGTTGGACGACACCGACGGCGTGCTTTGAGAACGTAACAGCGATGGCGACGGGAATGACAGCACCGGTGCAAACAAATCATAGTCTCTAGTCGTGGACGAAGTAAGAACGTCGGAGAGCAGCTTTAGTTGTTCCACTTCCAGCTTGAGTGTCTTAGCTTTGGTAACGATTGGGCATTTCGTGCCTCTCATGCGTGCATGCGCAGCCAAAGCACGCCAGAAGGCGTCGTGCACACAGTGGAGGCCGGGTTTTTGAAACGTGCGCCCTGCCGTTCATACATGTTTTCCGGAAAATGCACCTCTAAAGTATTTTTTTTTACATGCATTCTGTGTGTGGGGCAGGGGGTTTACCTATGACTTACAATAGTGTAAATACTGTATTTGCTTGAATATAACGCAAGAGCAAATTTTAATGCGCTCAAAAAAATAAACATTATAACACGATTTGAGGTTTCATAAATTTACCGCACTCGGGGGCATAGCACAAGTGAAAAGGCAATGGAAATCAAAGACATATCAGTTTATGTTTTGACTGTACTCATCCTGACTGCTCAGGTCCTTCCGTTTGCAATCCACTTGGTGACTTCACAGATCTGCAGCAGCACAAAGCTACTGTGTGGTACTATATTTGTTAGAATATAAGTCAACCTTTTTTTTTTTTCGGAAATGTTGTCAAAAATTCAGGGTCAACCTATAATCGGGACCAAAAAATTTCAACCTACATTCGCGGCCAAATTGTGGAGCAGAAACTAAGAAATGATCAGGCAGAAAAAAGAGTGCTGGTCCTGACAGAGGGTCATACTCATTCTTGTTCTGGTCCCTCCGCATAAACAAATACCTCGTGTTGCACGATTGTGTAAACACGGTCGGTGCTCTTGGCTTGTGTTGACTTGATTTGGCCTGGCTTGACTTGGCTCGAATTGGCCAGTGCCCGCATTCCCGCGTGGCGCACTGCATTTCTGCCCCGTGCTTTCGGGATATGTTGTACAAACACAGAAGGGATAAAAATGCTTTTTATGTTTTCCATTCCCCCTTCACGTGGCCCAATAGCTAATAAATAAATTCCCTCCCACACTCCCCCTTTTCCCACCCGATCTCCTGCATTGAACCGGAGGAACGATTTTCTCCAGACTTTCGCACCTCGTGGCTGAACTCAATTCCGAATATAACGCGAAGTGCGTTTTGGAGCACGTAATTTCGAGAAAAAAAGCTCGTTATATTTGTGCAAATACCGTATGGTACTTCTTCTGCCGTCTTTGCGGTTGGTGTACAGCGAATTACTAGTTTTACTTTTTTTTTTAGCTTAATTATAATCTCGCAATTCGGTGGCTCTCGAAATGCTGTTGCGTTTTGAAATCTATCTCCGAGGCCCAGTGCGGCCCGCCCTGACTGCGAGTCGCGCTGACTGTTGTCTGCACTCTCCCCTTCCAGAATGTGGAGCTCCCCGAAAGCTTTTCGGCTGAGCTGAAACTGCTTCTCGAGGGACTGCTGCAACGGGACGTGGACAAGCGACTCGGCTGCCGGGGACAGGGGTCAGTATTGCGGCTGCACTCGCTACCTGGTCGTTCCAGGGAGCCCCTCCCAAATGTCGGACATCGGGAAGCTTTAGTGCTCGAGACCTACACTTTGTTTCAGCCTATCACGAACCGTGGCGCACGTCTCCGACTGGCGCGGTCCTCAAATGTGGTCCCTCGATTGCTGTTCGAGGACGTCGGAGAAGCGTCGTGCCGCCGTTAAGTGCGGTTTTGACAGTGGCACGGCAGCAAAAGCGGATGTTCGACTGTTGCACGGACCGTCGCTCTCTGTTCGACAGTCCGTGCAAGCTTCGGCAGCCAAGGATTGGGACGCCGCGATGACGACGGCACTCGCGTTCGCTCGTCCTTTTTTGCTGCAACTTCCACGACCAACCGCCAGGATTGCGACGTCCGACGTCGTTCGTTGACACTCTGGGACAACTTTTGTTGCATGGGCGGGAAGCCAAGCACACTGGTCGAAGCTTTCGCTGTTTTACATCCAAAGCTGCAGGTCACCGGGTCTAATCACGAGCCAGGTGAAGATTAGAGTCATATCACTCTGGTACACGCAACATTGCGCCGCTCTGACAGAACATTGCACCAGTCTGACATGTTTTAGACGCTTGTGGGGGGGTAGTCTTTTTGTTTGTTTTTAATGCGAAAGCATTAACTGGTCCCTTGGAGCGAGCCAGCTTCATCGGCTTCAAACGGCCCCTTAAATCCTTTCTCCAAGTGCAGCCAGCTACCAGCTATGAAACCATGAGAAAAGCCTGACAACGGCGCCTAGTTTCCCCGATCCCAAAGGAGCGGAGTGAAGCTTAGGTCCTATTGGCTGGCGTGTGTTGACGAGACTCCCATTGGCCGCTGCATCAGTTTCAACGACCGCTCACCCCATGGCGCTCCGTGTCCGTCGGCACGCCGTTACCAAGGAGAGTCCATGGTCAGCGCGCCCAGGAGAGCGCGCGCGCTGACCGGCGACGAAAAGTATGCAGCAGATGAAATAATTGAGTGGACGAACCGCTTGCATGCTTTCGCATTCACAACTCGTAAAAAGTGCTTAGGTGTACCTCGAGGCTTTTTTAATTTACTTTTTGGGTATGATATTTTTAGTGAGAGATTCGTCCAAACATTTTAGGCTTGTTACCTTGCATACGTATTAAGGGGGAACACTGGTTTTGGAGCTTTTTTTTTCTTATTTTATAACCAAACTCAATGAAACTGCACAAGCTTGTTCAGCTTTTTGTGCTGATTTCATATATCTGGTAATTTCTTCATTCAGTAGAATTGCCCTGAAGATAATTAAAACTTGCCTGCCTTTGTTTGGAGGAATGATAGGGAAAAACCTGCTCAACAAAATACCCTTTTTGACACATGGCCAGGTACTACGAAGTGTAAAGAATACAACGTTGGAAGTACTTTTAAGATAAACCCACTATTAGTGATTTTACAACATATTGAAGTTCAGTGCAAAATGCATGGCTAACAAGTAAGAAAACAAAAGATCAAATAAAAAATTTTCTTGACTTATACTAAAAAATCTGCTCTCAACATTGTATGCTTCACAGATTTAGCAACACATTTCAAGAAAGGTTATATTTCTGACTGCTGTAGGTGCTGAGATATCCCTCCTGCAAATTTTTCACAATTCCGAAAATTGTGTTACGTGAAAACAATGCTTTAGAGTCAACTTTAATGCACATTCAGCCCACATAGACACTATAAATTGATTTATAGCTTGAATGTTAATCCACGAAATTAGAAGCATGGTAGATTCAAAAGAACAACAGCCATTGCCGTTTTCAAAAGACTGCAGTTCTAGGAAGTTTTTGGGTTCAAAGACCCATGTCCCCCCTTAAGAAAAATCTTTTATCACCATGGTTTCTAAAATGCTTCCTTAGGTGTTTGCTGTTGATGAGAAAGCGTTTAATTAATAAGCTTTTATATCCCAAACAAAGGGGTCAAAATGACTGAGGAATCTTGTAGGGAGTGGCAGTAAGGCTCTTCTGACTGGGTTTGGGTCAAACCAAACTGAAGCTACATAGAGCTATTTGTATTGTACGTCACCATACCACGTGCTCTGTGACGATTCGTAGCCCGATTTTAGGTTAGGAGCTACATTACAACAAACAAAAGAGCATTGTTTGCGAGGTACCTCGAAGCCACTTTGGCACGGCATCGCTCGCGAGTCGACCCGTTGCAAGAGCAGGAGCCGAAGCTTTGACGCCCGTCTGCTCTCTGTGCCGACGACCCCTCTCTCTTTGTGGGCAGGGCGGAAGAAGTGAAGAGCCACTCGTTCTTCGGGGGCATGGACTGGCAGCTAGTGTACCTGCAGAAGTACCCGCCTCCCCTGATACCCCCAAGGGGGGAGGTGAACGCCGCAGATGCCTTCGACATCGGCTCCTTCGACGAGGAGGACACCAAGGGGATCAAGGTGGGTCGGAAAGGCGGCCACTGCACGCTCTGGTCTTCCTTCCTGGCACTCGTCTCTCCACAGTCATTGGCTTTAGCACATGCCCGTTGCCTTTTGCCAGGCTTTGGCCACTCTTGCGACCATCTGTCACCCAAGGCAGAAAGCTTGCGCCGGAGGTCGGAGGCGGAGCATCTCTGCTCGATTCTTAGCCCGTCACCGGGCGTAGTATAGTAGCTTCTAGCCCCACTGCCAACAAAGATTCGCAGTCTAGACGACAATATGTTTTGCTGTTTACATTTCGCCTCTTCTTTGTGTTGTCCAACCTATCGCTACTGTCGGCAATCCATCCTCTTTCTTCTTTTTTTACTACATCATATCACGAGACATCGTGTGAGATGGCTTTCCTTTCATAGTGCTACGCTTACCGCCGAACTCTGCAGACGAGATTTTAAAAGTCTGGGAGACAACATCCTGAGAGTGCAATGTTTCCATCTAGTTTGTTGTTTCTTGTTTAGTTTACATCGTACGATTCATCTTGCAAGCGTAAAACACATTAGCAGTGGTGGAACTTGCGTTGAATTGCGCCAGAATGAACAACCTGCTACATGCTGCTCCAAAGGCTGTATTTGTAAACAATTTGCACCATGTCCGTGCCAAAAGGGAGCTGTTCTCGAAGAGGAAACTGAAAGTGTCTGGCACGTGGCATTGTGGGCGACGCCACTGAAAATGAAGAAAGTACAGTTGTTTTTTTTCGAATGCCTAAGTAGCATGTGCAAAAAGTAGGGTTGCGCGAATATGCATTGGGGATTTATGAATCCCCTCAACTCGGTATGGGTGGGCTCCTTTATATTTTAATTTTACGTAAAATCTGTTATTGACATACCATCCCACTGTAGGTATTGAACTTTTTGAGGCCACAGTCTATAAATATATCTAGATTAAATTTAACAGAGCTAATAAGTGGGATATTAGAAGCTTGAAAACAACCTTTGTGAGTTCAGCTGAATTTTTGTTTAGGCATGGTGTAACAGTAATGAAAGGTGCAGAGAAATGTGCTGCAACTATTCAATATTTGATTAAAAAAATATTTGGCCAAAACCACTGTTCGCTTTGAGTTTGCACCCAAAAGCAATTATTCGCACGAGCCTAAAGAAGAGTCGTCAGTTTTTGTGCAAACAGTGCTCACATTGATCGCAATGACTAGCTAGCGCTATTAATTGTGATCGGTTAGAGTAGCTATGTGCTCCGCTTAGCTGCTTTATGAACAGTAGCAGGTGGAATACGAGCGAGAGCAGTGTGATACAAACTTTATAATTTGCAAACACATTTTTACATCAAACAGACCAAGGTGCCACATGTACTCTTAATAGGTTAATTGAGACATCTGCAAAATTACCGCCATATGATCGTTCAGTAAATATCTGTAGTGGCCAGGTCCTTTGTAGGTATGACACTTTATATAGTCTTCCAACGCTTCAACAACTGCAGTTTTGAAAGTGAGAGATTCTCACTTTCAAAGATATTGTATAAAATTTTCTGACATAAAAGCTCAAAATTGTCTGCTCGAAAAGTGAGAATCTCTGCTCCAAAACCCGTTTTTTCCCTGATACAAGAGCTGCCCTAAGTCACCACTTGTCAGTTCCACCACTGCATTAGCAATGTTTCAGGTTTGAAACGGATAAAAGCTTCCATTTTTAAGCTGACGTGGCAGCCACTTTTTGAAGAGGTCTCCAGGATTCCTCTCTCATTGAAAGTGGCAACACTGGCTACCCGCACTGGAAGTTGCGAAAGCATTTTTGTGTTGGGTTCTGAGGAGTCGAGCGTGCTCATTGGGCCGTCCGAGTGGAGTAAACGGGCGGCGCACGCGCAGCTGTTGGAGGCGGACCAGGAGCTGTACAAGAACTTCCCGGTGGTGATCTCCGAACGGTGGCAGCAGGAGATTGCCGAGACGGTCTTTGAGACGGTCAACCTGGAGGCGGACAAGCTGGAGCAGAAGAAGAAGACCAAGATGAAGATGAAGTTCCAGGACGAGAAAGGTGACCCTCTCTCCTTCCTCTCTTGGGGTGACGGGAGGCCCTTAGCCTCCTTAGATAAACAGGAAGTTTGAGTGAATCCAGGGTGTAACCGTAATGAGTTGAACAGCTCTGACGTAGCCTCTATCCTTGGGAGTCAAGTGCCGTATTTTCCGCTGTATAAGTCGCGTTTTTTTTTGTTTTTTTTTTTCAAACATTTTTTTGGTGCAACTTATACAATGACGCAACTTATATAAGATTTTTTTTTTTTTTTTTTTTTCGAGGTGCGAGGCCATTTTTTTAATTTGCCGCGCGACATAGTTTGTAGAGCACCATAACTATGTAGCCATAGTTGGTGTTTCCCCCTCCAGGAGGCACTGCTGTTGCCGCACTATTTTGACTCGGAATGCGAGATATTTTAATTTTTATGGTTCCCCGAAGCGGCTCAATGTGGATAGGTAAGACGGTGAGAATAAAACTTTTACAGCGTGTTATTGATGTTGCCTAGTTCAGCCATGGTTACGTATTCTTTTGCTTCCGTCCAGTAACACTGAAAAGTAAGTGGGCTGGTATACACGCATTGCAGAATATTTTCTCATGTCTTCCTCAGTTTCCGTTTGATGAGCAGTTTTTTTGTGCCATGCTTCAGCCTTGTTGCTACATGTAAAAGGAAGGATTGTGCCTAGCCGATCTTTTAGGGGTACTAAAAAAAAGTATGTCAAGGTTTATCTTTCTGCTTCCGCATCGATGCTCGCGTCGTCACCGGGACTTGGCCTAGGCTAGGCCTAGTGCTCCAAAGCTTCATTCGCGAGTGTCTAGCTCCTTAAACTTTCGTTCGCTCGGCATGCATTTGCTCGAATAAAGTCGACTACCCTCTCATTTTGCACATTTTACGTCCTTTTGCTGCGAAACACTCCATTGCCTCCACTAGACAGCACCATACTATGGGCATTTCTCACGAGTCGAAATGCGCATCAAACAGTATGTGCGATCCAGCAATTGCGTAAACTAAAGAACTCATCGTGTGAACCGTGCAAAGAGGTGCGACATATACCATCTTTTCCATGAAAACGGCTCAGTATACGGATGTGCGACTTATACAAGGGTGCGACTTATAGTCCGGAAAACACGGTAATTCATTTGCGGCCTCCTTTCTTCTTTTTTTCTCTCTCTCCACTTTCTACATTCTTGGCCAACCAGAACATTTGGCCTACAGCAAAACCCCGAGAAATAGCCCACCTAAAATAGGAAGCAAATCAGGTGAAAGTGAAAAATTTGGGAATGCATGAAGAAAAAAAAAAAAAAAAAAGTTTAAAAAATGCTAGTTTTAGATATTGTGACCTGCAAAACTTGCAATTGCAGGGAGTGGGCGATGAACCAAAGACGATCTTCCCAGCCAGCAATGCTCTCATCTTCTGTCTTTGCAAAGTAACACTATTTCTGTCGAGGTCATCATTGACCAGAGCCCTGCAATTACTAGAAGTGAGCTATCTTTTGGTAGCTTTAAAAAAAAAAAAAAATGGGGCATCTCCCGAGATATTACCTTATTTTTTTTTCCCGACGCATTTTTTTTTTTGCGGTTGCAAGATGTAAATAAAAATTAAAAAAAACAAAGCTCTTGGCTCGCCATGATTGGTGTTTCCCCTCTCCCCACTTTCCTCCTTTCCAGCATTTGCTCTGCTAAGATGGAAAGAGTCGAGGGCTTTGTGGTGGAGGGGCTTGTCTACTTTCCGTAGCCTGCAACAAACTGAATGCTGTGGCGACTGGCTCGGATTAAAATATAATTTAAACGTTTGAATCGGGGACTTTATAGTTCTGCTTGACAGACAGGACCGCCGTCAGAGTTACTTTCTAGTAACCGAAACTAGTTTGGACCACTCAGTTTTTGCCCGAGACAATGTTGCAGCGGGACTTTTGTGGCCGTTTCAGAGTCGGACTGCATCATCCACGGCTACGTCAAGAAGCTGGGGGGGCCGTTTGCGTCCGCGTTCCAGACGCGCTACGGCAAGCTTTACCCCAACCGGCTCGAGCTTCACACGGAATCCGGTAGTGCCAAGCCTGAGGTGGGTGCTACGCCGACTTTACCAATCGCTCGTTGCAGCAGTTCCTCGTTTATACCGTTGAGTCGAGGTATCTCAAAAACACTGGCTAGCTCCGAAGTCTTTTTTTTTTTGCATGAAATGAGTCCTCGTAGGATGAGTTCCTCATTGCCTATCTCAAACAATTTTAAAAGCGGGGCTTGGCTGCCCAAACAATCCTGCTGATGCTGGCAGGGACTGTGTCCTAAAGCTTCTTGAAAGCCTCAACATGACTTAGAGTTGTCAAAAAAAAAAAAAAACGCTAGAAAATATAGATAGCCATTGCTGTGCCAAAGATGAGCCCGACTTGTGTTGCAAGTGAGAGGGCAGGCATTTGCAAGACTCTGGATTGCGTGAGCACGTAGTCAGCAGGACGGTCTTGCAGAACCAGCAGCTCATGCTGGCAAGGTTCTTTTGCGTGCTCGACCAACATGGACAAACATCTGGTGCTGTGTGGTCGGAGAGTACCAAATTTTCTAAAATATAAAGTTTTTTTTTCTTGAATTGCGCATTCCAGAACACGTTTTGCATTGCGTTTGAAATGAATATCAGCCACGAGGTGTGTGAGTCCGGAAAAAGCCATCCCTCCGACTTAATGTGAGAGATTGTGTGCGGAAGGAAACGGAGGTATGGAGAGAGAAGTTATAAGTTTTTGCATCTCATGAATGAAGAAATAGAGAATTTAGAAAACTTCCTTCATCATTTTCACGTTTGTACTTTGCACGTGCAAGAACACTGTGTGCTATGCTGGAGTGTGGGACACCCACTGATCTTTATGTCTATTTGCTGGGTCGCGTTTGACCAGCTCCGCCTATGAACGGGAATGCGGCCACAGTCGGCCATCTTTTTGGTAGAGTTATATTATCACTAGCCATCATAGTAATATGGCAGACAGCGCGATGGAGGCAGGCTGTCATAAAATAGCCGTGGATCTAGTACACTGTACCGTAGGTGATATTTCGTGCTTGATTGAAGTTGTTCGGCAAAGCAGATTTTTGAAACCCGGCGTGAACGGTAGCCTCATCTTTGAGGACCCGGCGAACGTTCTATGAAAGCGTAGCACCAGGGGAAAGCAGCGCAGCTCGAAAGCAGACTCCGTACCGGCGTCTGCTTTCGATGCGACTTTCGATGCGTGCTGTGCTGCTTTTCCCCGGTGCTGCGATTTCGTGAAACTTTCACCGGGTCCTCAAAGATCGGGCTACCGTTCACGCCGGGTTTCAAAAACATGTTTCGTCAAACAATTTTAGTTAAACGAAATATCACCCACGCTATTTTGATGGCAGCCTGCCACCACAACTGCCACAACGCTGTCTGCCATGGATGGATGATAGTGGCTGCAGCAGTTGTACCTTGGCTAGAGGTGATATAAATAACTCTACCAAAAAGATGGCCGCCAGTGGCCGCATTCGCGTAGCGGGCAAACACAACCCAGTAATTGTCATAGAGATCAGTGGGGACACCGACCAACTTGAGCGAAGCCAGGCTAAGTCGAAATACAAGGGACCCTCGCCCATGTTTATGCAGTTATGAAAGGCGAGGGTGTTTGTTTATGCAGAGGGTCCATAGCAAGGGCAAAAACAGCTTTCTTTGTTCTGCCCGTGCATTTTTTTTAATTCCTGCTCGAGTGTTCCGGCATTCCAGCATTGGTGCTTCCGCTTCGTGGCTTCATATACCAGTATACCAGCCAACTTGACAAATATACTGTGGTTCAAACGGGATGGCTCGTTGACAAAGAGCTCAGGCGGAAGAGAAACTAGGAGACAGGCGTATCTCCGAAGTTGGAAATGCAACAGTCGGAAGGAGCTGAGCAATAACGACGGGTGCAGTCAGAACGTATGCTAATATTTTCCCGATTTTCCTCCCCTTTTCACTTCTCTTTTGATTGCGGTATCTTTACACGGCCTCGGTTCATGTTATGATAGTATTTACCGTAAAATACCGGGCAAGCGCCCACTCAAAATTTAGAGATAATCGCTAGGGGTGTGCGAATACTCGAATATACGAATTCGAATCGAATAGAAAGTTCCCGAATAATTCGATTCGCGAATCGAATTCCTAGTATTCGGTCACTCGAATATTCGATATATTCGGCCAAAGATGCGCGGTCGGCGCGGAGCTGACAAAAAAGCCGTTTTTTCTCCCGATGTAAGCGCCGTGATATTAGACAGACCATGCGAGAAACACCTCTTGGTCCTACCATTCCACAAAAATCTAACGCGCAGGTTAGAAAAAAGAAAATTAACGAACGCCACGAACTTTATAGCACGCGGATTTACTCACGCTCATGACACAATCTTCCCTTGAATCACAACCGAAACAGAGAAGCCGGAATTCCGCGCCATGCCTAATTCTTTTCACGAGTAAAGCCCCTCGTTTCAAATTGAACCGCCGATGTAGAACACACTTGCCGCATTCACAGAAATCGGCGGCTGCACGATCACACAAAGAAAACTATGTTAACCAAGCCGATAAAACCAGCCAAGTTATCGTCGTCGTTCTTTTGGAGCCGCAAGCGCCGAAAGCCGCAAATTCTGATTCGGAACGAAACACAAGGGAAGAGTAGTGTGCCTAGATTTGAGAGGCGAGAAGGTGACGAAAAGACGAAAGCCTCGATCGGGATCGGGCAGGCAGGCGTCGTCGCTCTTTTGTTTGCTCGCCCTCTTTCCACGCGACAACACAACACATGCGCACTTACGACCAATCTGCGCTGGAGCCGTCTCCGTAATTTCAGTTTCGCTTGCTCTCTCTTTTAAATCAAGGCTCTCTAAAACAGGATAGATACGACGGAAAAATGGATGCATAGCGGCAGTCAGACGGTGACTTGCGCCACCTAACCACGTTTTGTTTTCTTGCTTCAGATTATATTGTTTAAGCCTGTTTACTCAGATTTAACACCTATCTGTTTATTTATGGGAAATAAAATCCCCGGTGTCCTTTTTCTTCCTTAAAATGGAGACCAAATATTGCAAAATGCCCCTTTTCTGCGATACACAAATATAAAAAAAAAGTCGCGGTGTTAGGTTGTGCTTTCAACGAGAGAAAAAAGGCACGCGTGGCTGTAACTTTTTTTTTTTTTTCTGTGTGTGACGTTTAGGGTAGATAGATTATGTTTGCGCCATAAAATTGGATCTTTAGTGCCCAACGTCCAACTGCAACTGCATTTTTTTTTTCACCAGAACTTTTTTACATTTTTGCTATTGTTCTGTACAAGATGCATATTCTACACCAGGCGCACACTCTGCACATATATAGTCTCATTTGCAGCACACTTTGAAAAATTCCAACAAATAAAATTACTATTCGATATTCGATTCGATATTCGGCTTTTTTTTCTTGATTCGATTCGGTATGCGATTCGAGAACTACTATTCGGCATTCGCACACCCCTAATAATCGCGAAAAAATGGGGGATGGGCGCTTGTCCAATCATCAATTCTACATATAAATGCAGTGTGCATATTTTTTCATATCTTGGAAATTTGAATATGGGCGCTTAATGTGGAATGGGCGGATGTGCGGTATTGTACGGTATATCTTTTTCTTTTTAAGAGCTTCAAAACCTGTCCTTTTATTATATTCGTGCAAATATGCTACTATCATCGACAGTTTGCGTGGTAATAGTAATTATATTTATTTTTAAGAGCTGTTAAACATGCCCTCGCATTCTGTTCATTATGTTAATGATAATAATGATTACGGGTTCCCCTTTGTCCTGGCACAGCTCATCTTCATGGACCAGATGGAAGATGTGTGCCCAGACTACGTCCAGGTGAAAGGGGAGCAGTGCATAGTGGTGAAGATGAAGGGGGACACCAAGGTGGTGATCACCAACTCGGACGAGATCGGCCTCAAGGAGTGGCTGTTGTCGCTACGCTCGACCCTCAAGGACTCCCAGGAGCTGCTCTCGTCCATGGCCAAGAAGGCCGGCAAGATCTACGGTACCACGGACAACCGGAACAACTTGATGGGGCCCGGGGGCGGCGGTGCCAACTCGCCCGCGCCGCACCGCAACGGCAACTGAAGCACCAACCCTTCCTCCCCGAGGCATTTCCAACGGAGGGCGGAACAAATCTCGCCCCCCTTTTTTTAGAGTTAACTTATTGCGGGTGGCAACCAAGGTCACAGCGGGGGTTGTCCCGCCGCTCCACTGCCCCTCTTTTGGGAAGGCCCGCCTCTCGCTCTCCCCTCTTTGTTATGAATCTGCTGGTCAGAAGCGTACGAGGGGAGGTCGTTCCTTTCTCGCCGCTTCGAGATCGGCGTTCCCTCGTGTCATTGTGCGTCCGTCAACGAACCGTTTGTTCCCCGTCTGGAGGCAAACTCTCTTCCTCACCCCGCTCCGACGCCCTTCGCACTTTTCCACGACAGTCACGTGCCATGTCCGGGTTTCTTGCGCCCTCACCGCCATTTCCTTTTATGACCTGTCCCCACGTGCTTTTTGCTTTGTTTTTTTTACAGCACCATTACCTGTACATGCATGTAAATAGGGTGTGTACATAAGGTGACCACACTGAGGGAGGGAGACCAAACAATGTGTGCATGCTTGTGTGTGTGCATGTGTAAATAGGTGTGCGAGGAATTGCCGTGCAATTGTGTCTGCATGTCTCCCGACCGCCCGGAGGCGCGACTGTTGTCTTCGATCGTGTCATGCTGTGGTCCCCGTGGGAAAGAGCCAGAGTCCTTTAAGACTCGAGCAGTTGCGCCTGTCTCTGCGGTTGCGCAACCTCCCCGTGTGCGTCTCGTGTGGTGGGGCGGGTGGGGCCGTCCCTCGGAGAAGGGACCTTTTGTAGGGTGGACCCTTTTGCAGCAGCTTAGAAGCTAGTATGCACACAGCAAAGTATACATAGCCTATATCTATTCTTTCCAGGGGTTGGGGAAGGCTCGGGACACGTTGCCCTCACATCCGCGGTCTTGTGGCCGCCTTCCTCGGCAAGGAAATGTTAACTGTGATAGCAACTCTTAGCAGTCCAATTCCATGTGTCACCGTCGCTGCCATAGGAACCTTGGTGGTGGTGATGCTAAATGAAAGCCAGCTTCGGGCACTCTACATTTCCTGGGTTCTTTGGCCGAGGCCACATCTAACTTGTCGGGTCCCGGTGGCCGGATCCCGGTGGCCGGGTCCCGGTGGCCGGGTCCCGGTGGCCGGGTCCCGGTGGCCGGGTCCCGGTGGCCGGGTCCCGGTGGCCGGGTCCCGGTGGCCGGGTCCCGGTGGCCGGGTCCCGGTGGCCGGGTCCCGGTGGCCGGGTCCCGGTGGCCGGGTCCCGGTGGCCGGGTCCCGGTGGCCGGGTCCCAGTGGCCGGGTCCCAGTGGCCGGGTCCCAGTGGCCGGGTCCCAGAGGCCGGGTTCTGGCATCCGGGTTTGGAGTTCTGGTGGCCAGCTTCCAGCAGCCGGGTTCCCAGTTTCTGGTTGCTGGGTCCCATTGGTCGTGTCCCAGTGGCCGGATTCTAGGTCGCTGGGCCCCCGTCGCCGGGTTCAGAGTCTCGGCGACCAAGTTCTGGGTGGACGGGTCCCGGTGGCCGGGTTCGAGGGGTTGGGCCTGACTTGCCAGGGTCCTGGACAGTTGACAGTGCAGTAAATGAGGGGGAACCATCAATGACCATATTAGACAATTCTTAGAAATCATGTCTTGCGTTAGCAAAATTTTAAGCCTGACCGCCAAACAAGCTGTTTTAGATTTTGAAATAATTTGGGACACCTGAGGATATTACCACTGTTGCCATTGCTATTCAAGTAAGACTTTCTAGCCTCGTTTTGGAGACTATAGATGTTCTTTTTCTAAGGTGCACTAACAAGGTGATGAAAGATGGCGTGGAAGAAGGTAAGGGCAGGGTAGGACTTCTGTATTGCTGTACAGGAGACATGCTCCAAATGTTCGGTCAGTTGCCTTCCTCGACAAAAGCCGAAGGTGGCACGTGCCTGTCTCAAGGGCCCGAATTGAGGAACATTGCATTAAATGGATTGCAGCGGTTGATTTGGAACCTATTCGGAACAATAGGCACTCTTCCAAATTTAATTGATCTGGGCGATTGCACTTGACCCATGCCGAATCTGGTGGTCACTCCGGCAAGTCTGGCCCAGCCGTACAAACTGAGCTTGGGGAAAGTTGCCACAATCAAGGACGTGGCACCGCATTGTTGAGCGCTGTGTTTGTCCCACGTGTCTGTCGTGGATCGAAGGTCTCTGTCTGCCACCGCATTACTATTGCCGATGTAGTGCCGCGCGTGGCGGGGACTCGTAGGCCGCCTCCGAGGTGATTCTGCGGAGGCGGCAAACGGCATGGGCGGTGAAATTGCTGTTGCCGCTCTCTCTGCATCAAACGTTGCGAGCTTGAGTGAGTGGCGGCAGCTTGCGTGTTGCCCCAGTCTGCAAACTGCCCGGAACATCGCTCCTGCATCGACTCTCTCCATTGTGCTACATGCAGCTCGTGCTTTTGTGGGATTGGTTGGCTTTGGTTGCTTTTCCCCTCTCTTCGCCGCCGTCGGAGGCTGCTTGCGTCCACACCACAGAATCTAAGGCAGAATTTATCTCAGGCAATTTGGTGAAGAGGACCTCACCGCATTTGTTTACGATGGCGGTTGCCCCAGAGTGTAGAGAAAGCAAACCAAATAGAGAGCGTTAGTGTGAATGTCAAATGCAGTTTCTCAGGTCTGGCGGGCTTTCTGTTTTCCGTCTTTCAATATTCTGACGTTCGTTGCCTCCATTCTCAAGCCTTTTTTTTTTCACTTGGTGCATTCCATATGGTTTCTCCACATTTCCTTTGTCGCATCGTCATCTGCTTTTCGGCAGGCGGTAGAGGTATCGCAGTTCAGTTGCATGGCCGGTTTCGGGTTTGCGTGGTCACCCTCCGCCCCCTCGCCCACCCCTCTGCCTTCGACCTCGGCAGCTCTACTCAGTTATGCAATCTCACGGCGCTTCTAATGCGCAGCCCCGCTCCACCTCCCCGCTTTCTTGGAGCGGCCGGTCGCTGCAGCGGCAGTACACGCATACCCGTCTGTCGCGCTCCCTCGTTGCGGGTCGGTCGACCGTGGGTTGGGTCATAGGTTGTAGTACCTGAACCTAAACACGTGCAGGCATGTGTGTCGGTGTGTGCATAATGTGTCTGGTGATGTACATACGCACAGTGCATGTAACCTCGTCCTACGTTTTCTCGTTCGTTTTGGTTCCACTCGCAGGTTGTTTTTTTTTGTTTTTGTTTTTTGCGACGGGGGTGGGGGCGGCGGTTGGTTTCACATGCATTTGTCTCTGCCACGCGATTCCATCTCCTGTTCTGTACGTGTGCCCACTTTTGCCGAGGGATTCCGACGACTTTTTTGGCGTTCTGCCTCTAAACTCTAGGTAGTTTTCTGTTGGGTTGTTTTAAGCTTTTCTGCACCATTCTTTATTGACGGGGGAGTGAGGGGGGACTCGGGGGTTGGGGGGGGAGGGGGGGAGGCAACTGCTGCTGCCACGGGATTACAAACCACACCCTAGGCTAGACCTTTCTTAACGGCTCGCGATCCTAGACTTGCCACGGTAAACACGTGAGCTACTGCACTCTTAGGGAAAACACAAAAGCAATCAGTACCTCAAGGGCAGCGTACGACGACGACGCATCGTTTCGTGCGATGCACGTGGCCGTCTACTTCGACGTTGTACAAAAGAGGAGGCGGTTTCGGTCTGAGTGCGCCGTAGCACGCGGCGACACCGCCGCAAGGCGGGCAGTTGCGTCGTGTGCTAATGCGGCCGGTCCTGCACCGTTTGGCGTAGCTTAAGAGTTCGGGGCACGTGCGCAAGCGTTGGCAAACGACTCGCGCGTTAGCATTTGTACTTTCCACAGGAACGGGGGTTCCGATGCAACTTATACGAGATAAAAAGAAAAAGAAACTTGTCCTACACTCGCCACTTATAGACTAGTAAGGAAAAGCACTTTGCTCCAAAGTGAGCATCGCCTAAGTTTTTTTACATCGACGTTTCGTGCCGGTCACGTGTCTGACGAGGCACGTAGGGCACCGTTGAAAGTTTCTGTTGTTTTTGGACACCTCAATATGTTTTCGGCGGACCATCTGCGACGAGTCACTTCCTTTCTTCAAAGTGTGTCGCCGCTTACGGCGGCCGTGCGCCAGGCGCGAACCGGACCCCCATCGAGTTCTTCCGAGCTGCGTTCCCGTCGGCCATTCTGTCGCTTCCCCGGTGTCTGTGCGCATGCGAAACGGACGGGTGACTTGCATTTTTCCTCCCCGCGCATCCTCATCTCGTGGGCGTCATGGCCCACCCATCCACGAGCAGAATCTAGTCTCGCTTCCTTTTTGTAACCTTTTGAAGATGGCCTTTTCGTGTTTTTTTTTTTTTTTATAGGCGGGCTAGGCAAAGGGGGGGTCCTTTACGTGTCGTGTACAGAACTGTAGAGCCGCGTGGCCGGTGTATTTATAACGAGAGTCCCCGGTCGGTCCCTTCCTTGTTTTTACCGCATTCTTCATTGTTTTTTTTTTTTTTTGTTAATTGCTGTATTAAGTGTTATTTCTGCAGCCTCGGTTGTGCTCGCAAGTGTAGCTGTCATATAGGTTGTTTTTTATATAAGTTATTTTTTATGTTTTAGGAATGTAGATACTTGAATAAAAGACACCCCTGAAATGAGTTTGCTGGCTACTCGTCTTTTCGTCAATTTGTGTGGAATTCGAAAAGGTGATCGTTTTTCTGACATTAATGGCTTTATTTGGTACCTGCACTAGAATCGAACAACATGCATTCACCGACTATTCACCAACTACTTCCTTCACAGTGCAAGTACAGAGCACGCGAGTGATCGCTGATGCTTACCAATTTTCGGGAGGCACTCACTCGATCGTATTACATTATAGCGAACGCCCACATTTCACCGATTGACACTTTAGCGAATAGTCGGATGCCGTGAAGCGGCATTTTCGGGTGGGCCAATTAGGTTCACGTTTTTGTTATGAGCCACCGCAGACTGTCGCCGCGAAGCGGCGTAAGCGCAGTGCGGCGGATGGCTTAACACGCGACCCCGTTATTCGCTAAAACGTCGATTCGCTCGAATGTCGCTGTTCGCTGAAACGTGATTCGCTCGTGATATGGACCCCCAATTTTTGTTCTCAAAGGAATGACTGTGGTCAAAGCTACTATGATAGTATGGTTGAACCTGCACATTCAGCGCATCAAGCTGGATTTGGGTGTTCACTGCTTGAGCACAATACAGAAAAATGACAGTCATGGTTATGCTGTGGAGTTTTCATCAGGGATGATGATTGAACCTGTACTCTGTTGCAGGTTGAGAAAAGCAGGGCAAGCGCTTCCCGCAAAGGCAGATTGAATGTGGGAGGAGGTAAGCCTAAGTCCACTTGCCTCCTTTCCAGCATTCACACTGCTAAAAGGGAAAGAGTGGAGGGCTTTGCAGGAGGAGGAGTAGTAATAAAGGCTCAAAAAGAAAAAACATTGTGTTTTTAACAATTTTTTTCACATAGCAAAAAATAAAAAAGAGACTCAGTTATATAAATTATTAACAAGCCTATTATGCAAATTTCTGTAACATAATGTAAAATTGCCATTAAACAGTTTAGGTGAAAGATTAAGCACTAGTATACCAGATTAGATTTGTTAGTCCATAAAGAGAAACTGCAATGACTGAGCAAGGGAGAAAATGGTAGGAAATGCAAGCGCTTGTGGTTCGTCTCCTGGCTCTATACATTGTCGGACTGTTTGCTTTGCCCTCGAAGCATACACCAAATGGAGCGTTTTGTTCTGCTGTTCAGTATGAATTGTGCAGCATTATAACTATAAATGCTTAAAATATAAAAAAAAAAAAAAAAAATGGACGCATCTTTATGTGGTGAATGATGTTGATTGGGGCGAAGCTATGGTGGTGCTGATGATACTGATTTTATTGTTCATAGGTAGTGCTGATGGTGCTGATTTTTTTAGAGCGCAGCTCTTAGGTGCCCGTTTCCGGCTTGAGCGGCGTCGCCGTCGCCGTCGCCGTCGGAGTAACCGCGCGGTGCATTATGGGTAAATTTTCCCGAAGGAACCCGAGGTCCTCCTGAGGTCCTTCGGGAGGACCTCGGGTTCCTTCGGGAGGACCTAGGGGAGGGTGGGGTCACATGACGATGACGTCATCAATGACGATGACGATGGCGATGCGGATGCCAATGACTTCATCGGCATCCGTA